ATTCGAGGTAGGATATGAGGGAACAGCGGCAGAGTTTCCATCTGAGGCGCTAGTGTTTGCACGATCGTCTGAGGAACCCGAGACAAGAGGTGAGTTAAGAGGATGAGGACAGGATTGGGTAGGGCTGGGGGACATGAGTGTGTACGGTGTAGTGTTTATCTGTATGTGTAGAAATTGCAGTCTGAATGCACATAAAAGTCAAACAGTTCACGATTGCTGGCGTTGTGGGCTATTGTACTACTCGGTCGCCCGGTTCAGAGTACGCCTTGTTCGAGAGTGCACTCTAGCCTTTGCGCAACCAAGCGCGGACTGCAAGGCAGCAGCAATATTCTAGATGAGCCGGTGGCCAGTAGTTGGTTCATTCGCCTCTTCTGCAAAGCCTTGTCGAGTCTTGTCTGGACAAGGAGCAATGATCATATTTAGTGGCGGGNCACTCGCCACGTCACAGCGCTGTCCACAGATATATGTGGCGTTTTGTACGGAGAACCTTTGCCAGGGGTAAACCCACCACATCCTCGAGCGCTGCCGCTGATCGTCCGCGACCTCTTATTCGGAGGGCCGAGGCCCACCTTATTCACGGTTAGCCGTGAGATGTCGGCCGTTCCCCTATCCGCGACCTGAGGACGCGCTCGGTAGCATATATATTCACACACTTCTCAATCCAGACTGCACCAAACAAATCATGGTACAATAACCTATGTTAGAGGGAAAACGTTCCATGATTTGCAGATGGGCTGAATACTGCCAGGTTACCCAGGCCAGGGTAGGTGAATTTTCTTGAGGAATCCACAACCGGTGGCTAGCCAAAACATGACCCGCAAGGCAGCGGGACGGTGTGCGAAAGCCGCAATCCATTGGGGGACGATGTTCAGTTCATCGGATCATGCGCCCTTTGGAGGGGGTCAAACGTCCAAGGTGCTCAATACACCTCGATGCCCAATCGAGCTGGTGACCACTATCACAACCAGGAAGTTGTGTGGTTCGTACGCCTCCTCAGGAATCAGGGTTTTTGTCCAACTCCCCTATGGGAACTACCAGTGGTCCATCAAGCCGGTTA